AATAAAAAAATAGAATAATAAGAAATAAGAAAAAAGGATAAGAAAAAGAAGAAAGAATAAAAAAAGTACTAAAAATACATGTGGGGGCGCGTGTAGCTCACCACTTGCCAAGAGTTTGGTTGTCAGCGTTAAGGGTGCAAATAATTCCATCTAAAATAAGTTTAGGGGGGTAATAGGATTCCCGCAAAGAAAAAGTGTGTAGTTGGAAATTCGGGTTTAGGATTCTTTAGCTTTACCAAAACTGTCGTAGCCTATAGAGGAAAATTAGGTCTAGGATTCAGCAGTTAAAATCACTTTAGGTTTAGGATTCTTTTACTTGCCAATTTTACTTACGTTGATGTTTTGAACTTTTAAAACCAAAGCCATTTAGAATAACGAGGAGCTCAATGGTTCTATAAAAGTTTTTTATGCCAAGTGTCATGTCTGTAAAGGTAGAATTGCTTGTGATTAGAGGTAAATTTTGTAATCTTTACTGTGTTTTTGAAAGTTATAATAATAGATATTCTTGTATTTTTAAACTATAATGTTTCGTAATTATCATTACAAAATTGACTTATTTACAAATTTTGTTGTATAGATTGTTTGGATTATTGCAGTCTATGACAAAAAATTAATAAATTAGACATTCTAACTCATATCAATTCAAAATTATTTTTACTTATATTTTATAATAATAATTACGTCAGTGTAAGTTACCCATATTTTATAATTTAAGTGCAAATGGTACAAGAAAGGTGACCAATATAAGCAAAAAATGCTTTTTACCTTTGTTACTACTATTTTAGATAACATTTACTTTATTCTATCATCAGCTGCTTTTATGAACTTTAGTTGTGCTTCTTCTTTCTTAATTAAGCACAAGCACAAATACAATTAAGCTTTCTTTCTATTTTTGATTTTACTAACCACTTTTCTTGTTTGTTGCATACTTGATATATAATATTTCCTTCATTGATCGTGTCTTCACATGACATATTCAATTCTATTTTGGTTTATTATTTTATTTAGTATTTTATTTCAATTTTAAATAGTATAACATTATAATTATCGTGCTTATTTCATTAATTGTTTCGTCCATTAGATATCTGGTGAAAGCTTTTTTGAAGGTGAAACACAACATTTAGAATTATGCAAAAACAATATATATTGAGGCTACCATTTAAAAAATAAAGTTTAAACACATCAAATTGTTTCCTTAGAGAAGAGTAAAATTCATAAAACGACTGAAATATTATTTTGAGCAATATGAATACGCGTCAACATATTGTGCCTCTCTTTATAGGTTTCTTTAGCAAATCAATAGCCCTTGTAGCAAAATTAGGCATTTGATGACTGTGGTAGGGCAAAATTTCAATTTTTATTGAGCTACAACAATGCATTTGGTGACTGCAGTAGGGCATAATTTCTTCTTTTATTGAGCTAGCTAAATAGAATCGATTTATATCATTTCCAAAAGTTTATACTGTTTTTTTTAGTTTATACTCATATATAGGATACACGCGCAACGCGCGTACCCTGAGACTAGTATTTTTAAAAATCTAAAAGAAGTTAGACTCTCAATTAATAACATCTTGACATAAAATGAGATGGTGGCAGTACAACATACAAAATTAGAATACTGAATATTTAAATCATTAATGGCATTGTTAAAGATAATCATTTTAAACGTAGAGATGTCAAATTCAACATTTATCAATTCAAATCAAACATATCATATTTTTCTTGCAACTAAAAATCTATTGCAATGATCTAATATGATTATTAGTTAAGAAAAAGGCAGGAGACATCTTAGCCCAAACCTACTAAAACAAAAAATCTAATATGACTATTCAGAGAAGTGGACGATGTCGCAGTTTATACAAAGAAAAACGTTAATATTCTAGTTACTAACGCATAAGCTAATAGAAATAATGAAAACCTTCCAGTATCATCTCATTCTTTCTTGTCTTTTCTAGCAAAATTAATTAAATTATTATCAGATTAATCTGATAGACACTTTTAATTGTTCAATTTTAATTAACAATTTGAGTTATGGTTAAACGTGTGACACGACTCAGCATTAGAGATTCAATGCTTGATAACTTGATAAGAATATAGTGTGGGTGCGTGGATTTGAATTTTGGAATGTAATAAGGATTGTGAATGTAGTTTTTATCTATCTTGTGGCACGCGTGGTCTGAGAAATGTTTTGTCAGAAATGGATGTACCTATCCTTAAATTAATACTAGTATTTTATATCAAGTCAAACATTTATTAATAATGTGTATTTAATAGCTAGAGAGGGAAAAAAGATAAAATAAAATATATTTTGTTCCCCTATTATTGTTGCGGGTGAAAGAGCCACTAAAATGTGACTGGGGACCTCTCCGACCATCAAGATTCTCTTTTTTTTTTTTTGGGCAGAAAGACAAAGTTATCATTCATTAACAGGCACTACTACATAAGGATGATTCCCCAAAGGGGTTAGCAAGTATTCTAACTATCATAGCTACTAGTACTAGTCGAACAACTAACATTAGGATTCCCAAGTTCTGCTAGTCTATTTAGTACATTTATAGAAACATTTCTAGTAGTAGTTGCAGCAATTTTATCATCACAGAGTAGCTTCAAAAACTTTGTAGGTGGTTGGTGCAAGGTTATCAAGAAGTTGATGTTTGGTTGCTTTGATCCTTCAGTCGCAAAAAAGTGAGCCACCTTATTTCCTTCTCGGAAGTTATGCCAGATCATCGGATTTCCCAGTCTCTCCAGTAATGACCTGCACTCATTAATAATGTTAGCATAAATGGAACAATTATTTTGATCAATTAGGTAAAGTATATCAGTGGCATCAGTTTCTATTTTCAAGCTGGGTAGATTTGCGTCACACGCAAGTTATAAGCCCGATTTAAGAGTTAGTAATTCCATATGAGTTGGTTTGAGACCAAAAGTTGCGCTATAGTATCCTAGTTTTCAGTCTCCCTGATGGTTTCGAAAAATACCGCTAATACCACCTTTTTTGTATTTTCCTTTAAAAACTCCATCAATGTTGACTTTCAAGGTAATGGTGTGAGGCGGGTATCATTTGACAGTGATAGTTGAGGTTAGAGGATTTTGAGGTGTAGAGTTGGTGCAGTACTTATATTCCATGGAACACATCAAAACAATATTAATGGAGAGGTTGTTCCAAAGATTGTCGAAGGAGTTATGATTTCTATTTAGCCACAGGTGCCAAATAGCAAATGGAAAGAACTCTAGCCATGATATACCCATATGGTCAGTGTTGATGTTAGCTTTTTGAAAAGTAGAGAGCCAGTGAGCGTCGTTAAAATTTAAAAGGAGAATATCAGGGTGAACCTCATTCCAAAAAGTTTGTGC